GAGCGCTTGACTATAAACCACATGGAATCTACAAAGCAATGTTAGGAAAATAAAATTGTGAGGCTGGGTATCGAACCCAGGCCCTTTCGATTGCCCATATTCCTTCATCATCTGAGCTAGATTTGAGATTCAAAGGAATCCACCTCACATGTCTTAGTGATGGTATCCTATTACTTCAGACTTTACATGTAACATATTAACAATCATGCAACCGAATATGCAGTTGAAATTAAATTACATGGGAAATGAAATTGAGATTGAAGGTTCGTTACCAGTGGGGTGCTCCAATTCTGGAAACCTTGTTGGAATTTTGGAAGTTTTGTGGAGCTCTTGTGGGGAAACGTGTGCATGCAATATGTATGTTGTGTGTAGTGTCTCTGTCTCTAGTCTTCTGGCGAATGTCCTTTTGTGTATGTGTCTGGCTTTGTATTTATAGGGATGTGAGGGTGCATGGAAATGGCAAGGGACAGCCACTAACTAGGCCTTGAAGGCCATGAGACAAGAATCCAACACATTGAAAGTTGGCCATATTTGGATAATTCTTGCCTTTTGAAATCTTGAGTGAACCTGGACACATTTGATTCTTTTGAATACCTTCTAGCCTTGCTCTTCGATTAGCCCTGAGTTGCTTCCTTCGAATGGCTCTGGTTTAACTCCTTCAATTGAGTCCATCCATTATCAATTTGAATTGCTCAGATCTTTGATGACTCTGAATTCCAATTGTTAAGAGTTTTCCCTTATCAGGGCTTCTTCATAAATCCCTCATATATTTGCTCTTCGATTAGCTATGACTTTCTCCTCATGGCTCCTTCGACTGGACCCATCTATTTACCTTAGCTGCTTGATTCAAATAGCCCAAACGAGAACTTTATCCTGGCTAATTGAAACCTCTTTTGTCACTTCCTTCGAATGCCATTGCGCAGGAGGCTTGGGCCTGACAACACGTAGGACCAAGACTTATCATAAGACAAACTTGCTTTCAATAATTATGTGTCTCCTTCGAATGGCCACCCATGTGTGTCCTTCGAATGGACCTTTGGAGTGCTTTTTCGAAGGGGTCATATTGTGTGTCATAGTGCAGAAACTATGTTGAGGGGTCTTGGCCTTGTGCATTGAAAGCAATCAGAGAGGAAGTCTTTGCCTTTGTGAATTAAAGATAAGTCTGAGGAAGCCTCTGCCTTGTGGATCGAAGGCCAATTGAAAGGAGCTTTCGACTTAGTGACTCCAAGGCAAGCATGAAGAAGCCTTTGTCTAGTGAGTCGAAGGTTGCGTGAAGAGGCCTTTGGCCTAGTGAATCGAAGGGAACTTGTAGAAGCATTTGACCTAGATGAAACTTGGACCAAGGTTTGCTCGAAGTGGACCCAAAGCTCAATCGAAGCTGGTGGGCCAATGCTTGATCGAAGGGGAATTAGATACCTAATCGAAGCTTGTTGACATGCCAATTGAAGGACATTATTCTGATATGCCAATCGAAGTACATTGTTCATATGCCAATCGAAGTACATTGTTCATATGCCAATCAAAGGACCTCACTGACATGCCAATCGAAAGACACTTAGGCAAGTGTTTGTAACCATCTATGTAAGAGACAATTTTGGGGAACATGAGAGGGAAAATTTTGGGGTACAACACTCGGGAAGGGGAAATTAGATGGGGAATAAAAATTATGAAGAAAGTAATTTTTGATAGAAACCGAGGCATAAAATTAGATGCACATTGGGTCCAAAGTGACCAACTAATTGAGCCTAACGGTTCAACAGTGACAAGTTTTATTGGTACACTTGTAAGGAATGAAGTTCCACTTACTTGTGATGATTGGAGAAAACGAGAGTTGAAAGAAGCTAAAGAAAAAATTTGGAGTGAGATACAGGTGCCATATTTAATGAAGTTCCAATTTGTTTTTAATGAAGATTATGTCTTTAAATTACTTGTACTAACGCACTCCGTGTATGTTTTTCGTAGAGGTCTTTCAACAAGATTACTGATACTAGAAGAACTTTTTGTCTCTGATTGGCTGAAAAACTACTAAGAGGGTGTAGGACTTTTTTAAATATCAAGTTTCTTAGGGATGAGGGTAATTTTTTTGTTGATGCAGAGCTTCCATCTAAATATGCAAGTTTGGTTTCACCTAAAGAATGGGAAACGTTTAAAGCCAAACGAAAAACCCAAGAATTTCAAAGTGTAAGTGAAACAAATCAGCAAATAGCATCAGGTCCCGCGTATCCATACAAAAAAAGGCGTATTGGATATGGACGCTTAGAACAGTCTATCGTAAGTATCTATAAATTGCAATGATATACTTGTTCATCATGAATTATATTTGATCATATTATTTAGCTTAATGTGTAGTTAACAAAAGAGAATAGTTCTGAAACACCTCTTCCGACACATGTTTTATGGAAGGAAACCCGTGTGGGTAAGGATGGAGTTGTCAAAGAAGATGTTCAAAAAGTTTTTGAGAAATGTGTAAGTATAACATTATTTCTTTAATTAAATCAAAATTTTAGTAACATATAATTAAGACAAATTTTCAATATTCATATGAATTTCAGGAAACTATATCTCAGTCTATATGTCCAGATAAAGACAATGATTGCAGGAGTATACTTAGTCGAGTATTATATGTTCGTGAGTATTTTGGTCGGGTGAGGGGTAAGGGATTTAGAGTCACTCCAAAATCCTTAAAGATGAAAACATAAAAGACTCCTATCAATAAAGAACTGTAGGAAACCTTGAAAGCACTACAAGCTGAAGTCCGTGAATTGAGAAGGGAAAAAGAATAGCTTCAGGTTTTAAAGCTACTAGTGACAAAGGTAGTATCGGTTGTAATTTTCAACCAAATCTTCTAGAGGTAATTATATATATATATATATATATATATATATATATATATATATATATATATATATATATATATATATATATATATATATATATATATATATATATATATATATATATATATATATATATATATATATATATATATATATATATATATATATATATATATATATATATATATATATATATATGAAATTAAAGTAGCTTAATTTATTTAATTGAAATGTATACACAATAACAATTTGAAATTTATTATTGATTTTAGGGCATTTCACCTTGTCAACTCTACTTATCGTCACCGACTTATCGGATGGTTGGCAAGGGAAAAGTGCATAACACTTTGAAAGAATTACTTCACACTAAACCGCTCCCTACTGGCTGTTTGAAAGTATCAGTTGACATTGCTTTGGAGAAGGATGCGTTATTACCACATTCTGACGATGTTTTGGATGCCACACTGGTGGGAGATGCAATAGATTCGTTTGTTGCATGGTCGTCAAGCCTCATTAATATAGATTATGATGTATGCTTAAAACCATATATATGAACATTTGAGTATTCAAAGTTTTTACGCGCATTTTACGTACATTTTTTTACATGGTTATGTTAATTAGACTCCAACAAAATCCAAAGCAAAAGACAAGGGGATTCCGCGGCAAACCGAGTCAGTTGTATCAATAAAAGAGGTACATCACAATTATATGATATTTATGCATGAAAAATGTTAATTCGTGATCTTATACTTCACATAACTAATTATATGATCTTTAGATTCATGCTAAAGAGAATGAAGATGTCGGTAGGGGTAAGAATCCTGAAAAAAAGGTTGTTGCTAAGAAGACCGCGGCTAAAAAAAACCTACTTCCAAGTTTAGGTCGTGCCTTGAGACATTTTGAGAAATTTTTGATATTCCGGAAGGAAATACTCGTCTTCTATCCATGAAGTTTTGTATTTTTGGTTTTGAATATTCTGAAACAATTGGTATGGAGGATTTTGATCAAGTTTTACAACATACGCAATTAGGCCTCGGTGTTGTTAATACATACATAAGATATATCCGATCTACTTTGTCTAATTAATTGATCAATTCATTTACTCATTTCAAATGTTAATGAGGTCTTTTATTTAAGGTTTTTGTATGAAAAATTGATGCGCCCGAGTGGATTAGAGCAAAGATTTGCTTTCTTATCTCCTTTCACTACCAACTTAGGGTTAATCTTGCATAAACCAGATGAAGTCATGGCGTATGTATTCGAGCGCTTTATGGACGACAAAGATACCGAAAAGTTGTTCTTTTTTACCGCTTAATACCGGCAACGGGTTAGATTTTCATTCTAAATTCATCTATTATAATTTTTTATATTTTGACGTTGTGTAGAAAGTTTTCATTTCACATTTGTTTAATCTTACAGTAGACATTGGTTGTTGGTCGTGATTAATCCTATAAGAGAAGTTGTATATTATCTGGATTCTTTATGCAATGATCCAAGTACATACCAAGATATGAAGATTATGGTTGATATGTAAGTGAGATTGTTCTAAATATTCGTGTGTATATTTATTTATTTATTTATGTGAATTGTTCTAAATGTGCGTTTATGTTTTATTAGCATTATACAAGTTTTTTGAGCATAAAGAGGTGTTCAAGTACCATAGAGTAAAGCCAACAACATTACATGGATTATAGTGGAGGTATATTAATTAATTATCACAATTTTGATTATATTAATAATGATGATACTTGATAAAACTTAGGCCTTATCCATATTTTATTTTCATGTGTAGTGTCATCGGCATCGTAATGAAGTAGATTGTGGTTTTTACATGTTGAGGTTTATGAGAGAAATCATTCTTTTGGATCGAATAGAGATTCCATATAAGGTATGGATTTCTAACTTAGGAGTTATTTTAATATTTAACACATAGTTCTCATATAATTAAATAGTTTTAACTTAAACATACTATGTTATATTATTATGTAGTACTTTGATGAATTCAAGTGTGCTTATTACTCAAGTTCTAAATTGGATGAATTTAAGGAGGATTGGTGTCAATACATTATTGAGACGAAAGTTATATAAAGTATATTGTAATCTTACTTTAATTGATGAAAATTTTGAGTATATTCAAGTGTTGCAGTTTTGTTGTTGTTTGTCATGTGGTAAATTATATATATTTTGTTTGTATCATGGTATGAATTACGATATTTTGGTGTTGTTTCAGGTTATATGTGCATATGTAGAAGATAGAGATGAGTAGATTTTGTAATGGTATATAATGGTGTTGTTTTTTTGTAAAAGTATATATGTACAATAGTAATAGTATATATAAGTACATTGGTGTAAATGTATAGTATCTTTTGGTATTATTTTTTATTAGATTGAAGCTCCAATATTAGTGAAAATTTAGTGAAATTTGTAATGGTATATACATGTGCAAAATATGGTGAAAACCTGGTGCAAATATGGTTAAAATCTGTGCATATAAAATTGTATATAAAAATAGCATTTTTTTTTCTTCAAAAAGGTTATATAAAAAATTTCGTGGACATTAGACAACGCTTTAAAAAATGTTGTCTAAAGCCCCCTTTAGACAGCGCTTTTACTGTAAAAGCGCTGCCTAAATGGGCTCTTTTTTTAAATTTTTTTTGTTTCAGAAAAAGCGCTGGCTAAAGGGGGCCTTTAGCAACGCTTTAAAAAAAGCATTGCCTAAGGGGGGCTTTAGACATCGCTTTAACATTAAAAGCGATGCCTAAAGAGGCTTTTTATTTTTATTTTTTTTGTTTAAAAAAAAGTACTGGCTAAAGGGGGTCTTTAGCAGCGCTTTAATAGTAAAAGCACTGGCTAAAGGGGGGTCTTTAGCAGCGCTTTAAAAGTAAAAGCGTTGGCTAAAGGGGGCCTTTAGCAACGCTTTCAAAGTAAAAGAGATGCCTAAAGAGTGGATTTAGCAGTGTTTTTACTTTTAATAAAGCGTTGTCTTTACCTACAGCAGCGCTGGAATAGACAGCGTTTAAAGCGTTGTCTAAAGTAAAAAAAATGCTGTCTAAAGTCTTGTTTGGCGTAGTGAATTTTGTATCGACCCCAACATATGAATTATAGATCATTTTCTTAGCTTTCTGACGCATTAATGATCATGTTAATCGAACTCCTAGAACTTCAGATATAGTCAAAACACGACAGGTAGACCAACAAATACGAAAATACTTAGTTATTATAAAATAAAATCATAAATAAAATAAAATATTCATTTTATTTGGAGATTTTTTGTATGTTTCCTTCCAAATACTTAGTAAAATTATGATTTCATCACTTACAGATGATGTTGTCATGTTACCGAGAAGAAAAACACAACACCTATTACAGAGAAGAGAAGAAAAATCACATAATTTTTTTTAACAAAGAAAGAAGATGATGTAAATAGTGAAATTTTTAGGATTTAGTCATCCTTTAAATTCCTTCAAGAGTCTTAATTCCACTGGTGCGGCATAATAAAGAAAAGATAAATACAATAACATCCAACATCAACGATGTTAGTTAAATAAACGTGTTTTTAACGTCAAAGACGAAAATCAATATGAATATGAAATATAAAAATTCATCCTTAAAAAAAAATTTAGAGACTAAACACAAAAATATGTTAACTTACGTAGACCAAAAACACAAAAATACCTAAAAAACTACGTTAAATATTTTTGACAAAAGATAATAAACAAATTTGAGACAAAATAAATAAAATAAAAGAAATAGAGAGAATCATGAGCCATGAAAAATTCGGTTCCTCACAAAAAGGGAAAACCAAACTTTTCTTATCTACCATTCGAATTTGCAACGACTTCGCTTTTCGCGTCTCATTGAAGCGCTTATTCTCCACTTTATATATAAACGCAACAACCCTTTTTCTCTTTTCTTAATTGATTTCCCTCTTCATCCTCATTTCTTCTAAATATCTATCATAGCTGCATTCTTAGCTTCTTCACTCGTCTGATTCATTGGCTTCTTCAGGATCTGTTCGTAAGTAGCTTTTCCTTCATTTTTTCTATATACAATTTTCATTGCATGATTTGTTTATTTATTTATCAATTTAATTAGGTATGTTTGTGTTGGATATTTTGTGTTCTGGGTTTCCTATGTTTATGTTTTGTCTTTCCTTGTGGGTTTTGACTATCTTAGGATAAAGATGCTAACTTTTTTGCTTTAAGCTTATATACGAAAATGGGCTATTAGGATTATGAGTAATTGATGAATTTTGCTGCTATACTCTTTGAAAAAAAACCAATTTCTGAGTAATTGTTTTTTAATGCTATTGTTAGGGTGGTGAAAAGGTCTCATGTGTGTTCACCTTTGGTGTGATTTTACATAGAGTTTTGTGAAGAAGTTGTTTTAGTTAATTAGGCTCTTGCGTTAATCAATGGTTTTGAGGGTTATAATAATGTAAGTGTCACTGTCAACGACGCTTGACTGAGTAAGAGAGAGAGAGAGAGATTGGAAGCAAGCAAACAAGAACATTGATTTTAGTACACATAGATTAGTGTTTCTAGACTTTTGTTGGTTTTTAACCATTAACAGAAGGAGCTTTTTGATTGCTTATTGGTGATGAATTGAATAGAATTTGGTCATTTATATGTTGGGAGAGATAATCTGAGGTGAATATGTATAACTTGAAATGTTTGAGTTGAAGTTAATATTACTGGTGAAACTTAATTTTACTTCAATGAATCTCTGTTGCTTTCTTCTTTATTCCATGGTGTAGTTAATGATATCGTCACGGTTTTGTCATTTTTTTCTCGTCCTCTTTCAATCTCCTCCTCGCAGTTTATATCTTTTAGTAGCATGCTTTATACCTATACTTGTAAACAATTGAGTACATATATTAAGAGAATTTCATGTATTTGCTGACAAAAAATGTTATCATGCTTCATTGCTAACTCTTTTTTTTTTTTGTTGTCTTTTCTTTATCTGTTGACCTGATGTCTGCTACTCTTGTATGTGGTGCAGGCTGCAAGGTTTATTTAATGAAACCTTGTTGGACTTGTAGCGTTATTCAGTATATCAGTTGAGCCCTTCGACAATCTAGAAAATCTATCAGTTGAGTTTCATATACATTGATTAAAACAAATTTGGCATTTGACTTATGTTTCATAGATGTGATATTGATATTGTTGAGCATGAATTCATAAATCAGGAGATAAACATGCTTAGTCCTGAAGGTGAACTGAAAATAAGCTTCGGCTATCAATGCAATGACGACAGAGGTATCCCTTGCAAGGTTGCCAAAGGCTGCAAAATCCTTCCTGAAATGCGAAGAACAAGCAGTTTCTCTTGTTTGTCTGGTGCTGCTTTGAGTGCAAATGCTACACTTGCCAACACAAACATCTGCAATGGTGTGATAGGAGAAGAAATCCTTCCGAATTTGGACTCTCCTAATTCATTTCGGCGGGTTCCCTCTTCGCCATGTCTTGGAATGTTGGACATGCTATCATCTTCTTTCCAAAGTAGTTTGTCAAACCTAAGTTGCAGCCCATCCAGTCCAAGTCTTATGCTTGAATACGACCCTTGTTCGTTAAGACTCATGAGTCCTTCCTCTAGAAATGAAAGTTTTCTCAATGCAACAGAAGTACAAGTAGCAGGAGGAGCTGCTGGTGAAGATAGAGTTCAAGCAGTTTGTTCTGAAGAAAATGGTTGGCTATTTTGTGCAATTTATGACGGATTTAATGGGAGAGATGCGGCGGATTATCTTGCTTGTACTCTTTATGACTCTATTGTATCTTATCTAAATACAATAGATTGGAATTCAGAACCGAATTCCATCAACGCTTCTGACAATGTCGGTTTGGATGATAGTTGTATTCTTGATCACGGGCATCAATCTTCATCAGATAAATCATTTTCGAATGTGGTACTTGATAGCCTCAAACATGTTCTTAATCAGGTTGAGAATGATTTCCTGTACATGGTTGAGCAGGAAATGGAGGAACGTCTGGATTTAGTTTCGATTGGATCTTGTGTCTTACTCGTGCTTCTTCATGGAAATGATTTGTGTACACTCAATCTTGGTGATAGCAGAGCAGTGCTTGCAACGTGCAGTACAGGTAACGGAATGAATGGGAATGAGAGGTTGAAAGCTATTCAGCTTACTGATAGTCATACTGTTGACAATGACAGTGAAAGAGCTCGACTTCTTGCTGAGCATCCCGATGATCCTAAGACCATTGTAGCAGGGAGAGTGAAAGGAAAGTTGAAGGTTACACGTGCTTTTGGAGTTGGGTACTTGAAAAAGGTTGGTAACGTTTTAAGAATTTTCCGTGCTGTATTTTACCAAATAGATAAAGTTGATTTTTTTTTTCATGCAGAAAATTCTGAATGATGCATTAATGGGAATCCTCCGAGTTCAAGATCTTAGAAGCCCGCCATACGTTTCAACGGATCCATCATTGAATGTGCATAAAATCTCTCCTTCTGATCAATTTGTTATAGTTGCAAGTGATGGTTTATTTGACTTCTTCAGCAATGAGGAAGCAGTAAATCTTGTCGAGTCTTACATCTTGCGCAATCCTCACTGCGATCCAGCCAAATATCTCATTGAAAAACTAGTAACAAAAGCAGCTGATTCTGCAGGTTATTTTCCAAGATATCATACTAAGTTTATGAATAGATGTTTGTGGTTTTATTATCGGTTCGGTTACATGATCGATTCTCTTACAGGTTTCAGCACGGAGGAGTTGATGAATGTTCCGGCTGGAAGTAGGAGGAAATATCACGATGACGTCACTGTAATGGTGATCATCCTTGGGATGAATAAACGGACTTCAAAGGCGTCAATTTGCATCTAAACATTGACCATAGTAAATTTGCACATGAAGCTTTTCAATGGAAACTATAGTCATTGTTGCATTGTAGAAAGTTGGGATATTGGAAGATTGTACATATGACAATTTTGAACATAGAAAGAATCATTGGTTCCTTTGTATTCAAATATTTTATGCAGTGCTTCCACTTTGCTGTAGAAATGCATGTAAAAATATGAATAGGCTGCTTTACAGATTCTGATGAATTCAATCATTGCTTGGCATAATATATTTGTGGAATTCAAATTAATATGAGGTGTTTTCATTTAGAAGCCCATTTTTTTAAGGTCAAACAAACCTTCAAAGGAATTTGTGCATGTAACAATGATGTCTCTAATTTAGAATGCAAACTCTACTTCATTGCCACAAGTGGTTCTTTGGTAATTTTGTCAAAAAAATTGAATCTTTGTTAAGATTGACTTATAACACTGGCTTACTATTTCAAACTTGTATTTGTATATTCAATATGCCCAAATTTCTTATAGAAAACACTAGATCTAAACTGTAGGTGGCTGGAAAGTTTTACTTATTCAAATTACTTCTAGAATGATCAGATTATATCTACAACTATACAGTTCAAAGCTGTATGAGGTTAAATATTATTAAATAGACCAAGAATATCAATATATGGGTTGGAGTTGAAATGTTATTAAATAGACCAAGAATATGAATACAAAGTTATTAACGTAACTACAAAATCTGATCAAAACTGTTCCGCGGTGGAATTAGAAATGTGTAATGATGTTTTGATATAGTAGAATAAGTTTGTATAGACCAAAAATATCAATACAAAGTTATTAACGTAACTACAAGTTTGATCAAAACTGTTATGTCATGGATCTAAATATGTAATGATGTTTTGATGTAGGTCCAATGGGAAGAAAATAGGCCTAAGCGAGGCTTTGGTGCATGAGGATGTTGTAAGAATAAGATTTGGTTTTGTAATATTATTTAAGTTTTGATGATAACAAATGAGTATGTTTGTATGAACAATTTTGATATTCTAATATTTGTTTGAATACTTAACAAACAAGTTTGGCTTCTGATGGATGACGTGACCAAGATATTAGAAGAGAATTAGTTTCGCTTCTGCGCTACACAAGTTCTGTTGAACAATAGCAAGACACTCCAGAAGGCTCTGATATTTGTCTAAAGAAACGAGTCAGAAGATCAGAAGACAGAAGACAAAAGTTGCTACTTAAGTCCAGATGCTGAAGACTCATGTTTCTGAAAACAACAGGTTCTAAAGAAACAGTCAGAAGATCTGAAGACAAAAGTTTATACTCAAGTTCAGATGCTAAAGACTCGAGTTTCTAAAGACCCAAAGTTCTAAAGACAAAGATTCTAAAGACCAAGTGCTGAAGACTCTAAAGACAGAAGTTCTAAAGATTCTAAAAACTTGAAGTTCTAAAGATCCTAGGCTCCAAGAAAAGGTTCTCACGACCAAGTGCTGAAGACTCTGAAGACGCAGTTCTGAAGACTCTGAAGACTTGAAGTTCTGATGACCTTGTGTTATGTTCTCACTTCTAAACGCATGCCCGCATAAGCCTCTGAAGTGAAGAAGGAAAAAAAACATTAACGTGGTACAAATAGTACATGGAACAATCAATGTTTCGTTTCACTACCATAAAAGAACGGACGCGTCGCACGATCTTGTCTCCCACGTTACTGTTCAAGCTGTCAATGTTTCTGGAAATTCCAAGAGTACTCTTCAACGGATATATTATTTTATTGGTTATATAAATGCTTGAAGACTAAGAGAGAAAACTGCCAATCAACGAAATATTCAAGCGCAAATGTTGTCATAGCTTTCATATTCTTAAGTCATTGTTCTTAAAATATTTTACATATTCAGCTTGTGTAGAAGCAATATTCTTGTAAACAAAACTTGTATTCAAACAGTTGTTTGATTTTCCTTAAGAGACCGGGTAGGTCTGTATTCTTAAGAATTCTAGGACTTGCGAGTTTTAGAGGTTGTTAGTCACTTGCAGGTAGCTTGTGCATTGTAATAATCAGGTTGATTATTGTTTGATATTCTTTAAGGGACTGGGTAGGTTTGTATCCTTAAGAAGTCTTTGACTTACGAGTCTTAAAAGTTGTTAGTCACTTGCGGGTAGCTTATACAAATTATAATCAGTTTGATTATAGTGAATTAAATTCTCGATTGAGTGAGGTGAAATCACCTTGGCGGGTGGACTAGACTAGCTTGATAATTTTCAAGTGAACTAGTATAAACATATATTGCTCTTTACTTCATGTTCTTACTTATTGTTATTATCGAGAGTGAAGGAAAATGATTTTAACTTAAAGGGAAATAGTTTTAAAGAAAATTTTTTGGTTAAAAAAAACCCAATTCAAACTCTCTCTTTCTTGTATTTTTCACACATTCAATTGGCATCAAAGCTCCAGTTTTGAGGAGATAAAAATTTTGAATTTTTATCAACACTTAACAGTATCCAGTACCGATCCAGTGTGTGTGAAAAACCAATGACTACATCTACTTCTACTGTTGATAATAGGGATAGTGATAGAGATCACTATAGTTCAAAGCCTCCTTTGTTTGATGGAGATAAATTTGACTATTGGAAGGATAGAATAGAAAGTTATTTTATGACATATGACTTAGATCTATGAGACTTGGTAGTTGATGGCTACACTCACCCAGTAAACAATAAAGGTCATAAGATTGTAAGAAGTACAATGACAGAAGCACAGAAGAAAGTATGTAGAAATCACTACAAAGCAAGAACCATTCTTCTAAGTGCTATCTCATATAATGAATATGAAAAAATCATAGATAGAGATGTTAGAACATAGTTTGATTCTACAACCCTTGGTTAGAGTTTTGATGATAACAAATACAAAGAATAAATAAATACAAAGAATAAATATGCTCCTTAAAAATATGTTCTATGTATGCAGAAGTTCTGATCAGATCAGCATCAGAAGATAAACCATAAAGTATTACACGCTGAAGCAATCAGATTATACGCTGAAGATTGGTGACCAGAACCTACGCTCAATTATAGAAAACTCTGATTCTGAACAAGAAAATATCAAATCAAGTCATCAATATTCTGAAGCGTCATCAGCAGTAAGGAGAAAAGACTCTGAAGCGTTACTGAACATTCAAGACAAAATTAATGCCAACGGCTTTCTTTAGACAAAATCTTATCCAAAAGGAAAGTGTGTTAATGACATTAAACTTGCTTTATGAACAACATCATCACATTGCCTATATAAACAAGTCAGCTTGCAAAATGAAGCACGCACGTACACACAACAATTTGCTAAGATCACCAACCACGCATATTCAAGCTTAAGCAAATTCGATCTTTATACTAAGCTACAAACCTGTGTAAATTATCACGGTTGTGATAAACTATTTTTGTTAGAAAAACAACATCACATTTTGTTTAAATCATATTGTAAAAGAGTTCCTTGAGATTAACCGGATTGTGGTTGTACTCAAGAAGACTTTAACAGTTGTTAAAGTAGCTGTTGTAATCTTTTGAGATTAGTGGATTAAGACCTCGTTGGAGAGAGGCGAAATCACCTTGACGGGTGGACTGGAGTAGTTTGAGATCAAACGAACCAGGATAAAAATATTGTGTCATTAAGCTGTTTTAGATCCAAGTTTTTCAATTCAACCCCTCCTTCTTGTGTTTTTCTCATCTTCAATTGGCATCAGAGCGCCTGGTTCTGAGCTTAAACACTTAACTGTGTCAGTACAAGATCCAAGCTTCAGAAAAACACTATGGTGGGACCAAGCCAAAACATCAGCAATGACAACAATGAAGACAGGGACAGATTCAGTGGTAAACCTCCAGTCTTTGATGGAGAAAACTTTGACTACTGGAAAGACAGAATTGAGAGTTTCTTTCTGGCCCATGATGATGATCTGTGGGACATGGTGATTGATGGATACACACATCCTGTGGATGGACGTGGTCAGAAGATAGATAGGAAAATGATATCTGATCAGCAAAAGCGTGAATTCAGAAACCACCACAAGGCCAGAACAATTCTCCTCAGTGCCATCTCATATTCAGAATATGAGAAAATATTAAACAGAGAAACTGCCAAGAATATGTTTGACTCTATGAGAATGACGCATGAAGGCAATATTCAAGTCAAAGAAACCAAGGCCCTTGCACTTATTCAGAAGTATAAGGAATTCAAGATGGAAGATAGTGAATCTATAGAAACTATGTTTTCAAGATTTCAAATTCTTGTTGCTGGTCTAAAATTTCTTGACAAAGGGTACTCTACTACTGATCACGTTAAGAAGATCATCAGAAGCTTGCCAAAACAGTGAAGGCCAATGGTCACAGCACTTAAGCTAGCCAAAGATCTCAACAAAATCTCTCTGGAGGAACTTGTTAGCTCCCTCAGAAGTCACGAGATAGAGCTAGAAGAAGATGAACCTCAAAAGCAAGGTAAGCCATTAGCTTTAAAATCTAACAAAAAATCTGACTCCAAAGTTTTGCAGGCTGTGGAAGAAACCTCTGATGGATCCTCATCAGAAGAAGATGAACTATCTCTCCTCTCCAGAAGGGTGAACTAACTATGGAAGCAGAGACAAAGGAAGTTCAGAAATCCCAGAAGATCATAAAATCAGAATGAATCCTCATCCAGATACAGAAGGTCAGAATCCTCCTCTGGACAGAGAAGATGTGAAGGTTCTTCAGGATACATAAAGCCAAATAAAAAAGACATCGTCTGCTATGAATGTAACGAGCAAGGGCACTACAAAAGTGACTGCCCAAAGCTTCAGAAGGAAAAGCCCAAAAAGAAGTTTCTCAAGGAAAAGAAGAAAAGCGTCATGGCTACATGGGATGATTCTGACACATCTGAAGCTGACTCAGAATCAGATGATGAAAGAGAAAACATAGCTCTCATGGAAAACGTATCAGAAGACAGTGAAGCTTCTGGTTCAGACTCAGAATCAGACACTAAAGAGGTATTCCCTGACTTCACCATAA